TTAATAATATTCTTCTATCTTTATTAGTAAATTGTTATTTTTATTTATAACATAATAATTATTATTATTGCTATTTTAATTTTTTCTTAAGTTTATTTACTACTTATACTATGTAATTGTTATTACCACTATTATTGCTATTATCTAATATTGATTGTATAATATCTTTATTATTATTGGTAGTATTATTACTAATAATATTCCTTTTCATCGTCATCTTATTATTATTGTTAATATTATTTCTATAATTATTATCAATACTATTACTATTGTTATTATAATCACTTTTATTGTAATGTTGTAGGTTTTTACTTTAGATTAGTACTTGTACTATTTGTAAAAGTCCTTGAAATTTTACAACTTATTTCAGAATATATTGAATTGAATTGAATTATAAAAATCAAAAAAAAAATCAAGAAAAAACCGTTAAAAAATACAAAATACAAAAACAGCAGTAGAATGAGTTCCGACGTCAAAACAAAACGAATAAAAAAATGAATAAAAAAGAAGCATAGTTGTAAAACTGCTAATCGCCAGTATCAAATTGGGCAAGAAGAAATTTGTTTTTATGCCGGCACTTAGATAATATTTCACTCTTTTTATTTAACAAATTTGGGTGTGTGAAAAATAAAATTTCGTACTTTTCGTTTAAGCATAAGTTACATCGTTTTGTTACAGGGTTATAGGCATTGCACTGTTTAATTATTTTCCACCTAACAACCGGGTTTAAGTTTTCATCTTTTAATCTCCAAACATCTTTTGTTTTTAAATTCTGAACTTGTAAAAAAACTCCATCTCAATCAGTGGACAAAAAACACAAGATGTAATATGCTGGTTCAAGTCGATTAGTGATCCAAACCTTTATAACTTTCTCATTTTTGATATCGTTGATTTTTATCCCTCAATAAGTAAAAAACTACTTAAAAATGCTATTAGTTTTGCTGAGCAGCGTCTGGTTATAGATCCTGAGCAAAAATCGATTATTTACCACGCCAGAAAGTCACTGTTGTTTGATAGCAATTAAGTTTGGATTAAGAAGTCAAGCGGATTATTCGATGTTTCGATGGGAGCATTTGATGGCGCCGAAGTGTGTGAACTTGTGAGGATTTTTTCTTTTTTTTCAGATTACACAGTTTTATAATAAGAATGATTTCGGGTTATACCGTGATGACAGTTTGGCGATTTTTAAAAACATCAGTGGTCCCCATATGGAAAAAATTAAAAAACATGTTGTTAAAATATTTAAATCGAACGATCTTCTGATATCAACACAGTGCAACATAAAAATCATAAATTATCTGGACATTACATTAAACCTCAACAACCACACCCATCAACCTTACTCTAAACCCGGAAACTCTTTAAATTACATTCATGCTGAATCAAACCACCCATCCAGTATTTTAAAGCAACTCCCACATTCTATTAAATTAAGATTATCAGCAAATTCGTCAAGCGAGGAAATCTTTCAAAAATCCACTCCAATGTATAATGAAGCATTAAAAAAGTCCGGTTTTAATTACAATCTTTCTTACCAACCTAACTTAATATTATCTCACACTAAGAACCGTAAACGTAACATCATTTGGTTCAACCCGCCTTTTAGCAAAAACGTCAGCACGAATATAGGAAAAATATTTTTAACATTAATTGATAAGCACTTCCCTAAAAATCACAATTTGCACAAAATTTTTAACAGAAACACATTAAAAGTAAGTTATAGTTGTATGCCTAATATGAAATCCGTTTTAAACGCCCACAATCGCCATGTTATAAACAACAAGAAAGAATCAGCTGAAAATAATTGCAATTGCATAAATAAAAACACCTGCTCTTTATCAAACCAATGCCTAACAAAAAATATAGTATATCAAGCTAATGTATGCTCAAACAATCTTGTTCAAACTCCCATCAATAAATTTTACATTGGCATAAGCGAAACATCATTTAAAATTAGATATGCTAATCACATAAAATCTTTTAAAATTCCCAAATTCAAAAATGACACTGAATTATCAAAGGAGGTTTGGAGGTTAAAAGATGAAAACTTAAACCCGGTTGTTAGGTGGAAAATAATTAAACAGTGCGATGCCTATAACCCTGTAACAAAACGATGTAACTTATGCTTAAACGAAAAGTACGAAATTTTATTTTTCACACACCCAAATTTGTTAAATAAAAAGAGTGAAATATTATCTAAGTGCCGGCATAAAAACAAATTTCTTCTTGCCCAATTTGACACTGGCGATTAGCAGTTTTACAACTATGCTTCTTTTTTATTCATTTTTTTATTCATTTTGTTAACTCATTCTACTGCTGTTTTTGTATTTTGTATTTTTTAACGGTTTTTTCTTGATTTTTTTCTTGATTTGTATAATATATATAGCTGAAGATTGCCGATAGGCATGAAACTTTTAGTTCCATTATAAAGTTGTAATTTTCTATTTAATTACACTTTATATATATATATATATATATATATATATATATATATATATATATATATATATATATATATATATATATATATATATATATATATATATATATATATATATATATATATATATATATATATATATATATATTGATCTATTTTGTAAAAATTATTTTTACATTATATTGATCACTCTCAAGTAAACAAGAGGATTTGTATCTCAACCATATACAATAATAAACAACAATATATATATATATATATATATATATATACATATATATATATATATATATATATATATATATATATATATATATATATATATATATATATATATATATATATATATATATATATATATATATATATATATATATCAGAGAATTGAGAGTATATGCGATATTGGTAAGGAAGGAGAAGTCAACTTCTTAGTCAAAAGCACTTCCACGGTGCTATGTGATAAAACCGTAAAGGTTTCTGGGAGTACCTTATTAACCATAAAAAAAAAATAAAAAAATAAAAAACTGATCTGATGTGCAAGACGAGTTCACCAGTTCAATCCAGTCACCGCCAACTCAGCGCTTGAGATGTATTTTGAAACATAAATACTAAAGCAAAGTTTTTTTTTCAGTTTTAAAAAAAAATTTATTAAGTTTATAAAAGAAAAGTTTGTGGTTTCATTAAAAAAGAATCTTTTTTAATGAAACCACAAACCTTTTAAGTAAATAAAACGAATTGAAACCAACTTTTGTAAATCGTAGTCAACACGTCTATTTGCTGTAAATATTTATTTTTTTCGGCGCTTATTACTAAGTTAAATTTTTTTTTACTTTTTTAGTTTAAAAGAGTGTCACAATTTTATAGATTTAAGTGATACGAAAATCATTATAAGGTAGATTAAGGTAATATGAGCATCTTGGTAATATGAGCATACTTAAAGATTTCTAAGATGTAAGAAGTGAAGTTAAAGTTGCTGTGTATTTTTTGAATCAACTTTATGCGGCGATAACAGGAATCAGTACATTTAGCGCGCTAAACGTGTAATAAAATTACGCTAGCGTAAATTTATATGCAGTAATTAGCGGCTAATATCTAATTAAAACGTTGTTAATTTTTTTGCGTTGTTAAAATAATATCACCACGCACGAATAAATCGCGAAATTTTGGTACAATTAATTTTTTCATAAATTTTTTTTTGCGAAAAACTTAGTAGTATTGGTTCAACAAAAAGAGGCTTAAAATTTGATCTTTTAATGATAAGTTTTGTTAATAACGAATCATTATATTCCAAAAATTAGTTCTAATAGTCAGGTTGTTATTTTTCTATTTACGGTGTAATTAAGGCGATTTACAAAATATTCGAATACTTTTATTTGGAATTAGCATGATTTTGTCAGCATATTATGTCCAAACAAGATCTTTAAATGCTATAATTTTTTTTGCTTAAGGTTTTTATAATATTTAAAGAAACTTTTCTTTTTTTTATATAATTTTCAAAACCTTTTTACTACCCCTAATAATGTATCTAAAGAACACTATTTTGAGTCTTTAGATCAATTCCGCTCATCGGCATTAATATGAATTTAGTTCAAATCTTTTGAAAAATTTTCTTAATTTACTACTGAACCTAGTTCTAATCGGTTCGGACGTATATTAACTATATATAGTTGTCAAAACACAATATTTTTATCAATTTTCACAAAAAATATTGGAATTCCGACCAAGAAAGAGCTTATAATTATGAAAAATTGCCAATAAACGATCAGAACAGATCATATTATTAAACTATAATGTTCATTTCACCGATGATTTATAAAAAAAAAAAAAAAAAAGAATCATCGGTCTGGATTTTTTCGCTACAAACATTTATATTTTATGGTATCGCAAAATTTATCATTTTAAGTTTTTTCGTCTTTTCATAATTCACAGACCAGCCCATTTAACGGAAAAATGTCGCAGTCAACAAAATATCATACAGACGCTCTATTATTTTAAAAGTGCCTTAACTACACCGAGTAGTTAATATTATTTTTTTGAGTTTAATTAAAGTGCTCATGTTACCAAGTGGTCTGGGTTATATGAACACTTTTGCTACTTTTTTAAAACCTCTGTGTTTTTTTTAAAAAAAAGTTCCGGGTGCCCAAATATCTAAGTGGATCATTAGTAGGGAACCCTAAAAATTGTTTATTCGCAAAAATTTTGGATCCCGCATAACTATTTTTGAAAACAATCCAATTTTCGCTCAAGGTGCTCATAATACCCTAACCTACCCTAATACCATGACCAAAATTCTCAAGATCAACGAAACCGAAAGTATTTTATGCGTCTCAAGATATTTCTATACGAAATATAAGTTTAGGAGACGTCATTACTAATCAATGAATAAATAATTTTAAAAGCATTTTTTTTTTATTCAACTATGACAACTTTTTAAAGTAAATAAACATTTTTTTTTTTCTCATTTAATTTTTTAAAATCATAATCAGCATATCTATTTACTTTATAACATTTATTTGTTTTCTTCTTTCAGCGCTGCTGAACCTTCGCAATATATATATATATATATATATTTGGTTCATTATAAAAATTTAAAAAACTGTAGTCAGTTTGCATAATCCATCAAAGTTGTTTCAAGTATTTACTAGGTATTATTCTAGTTCATAACCAATATTCATAATTATAATTTGGAAAAATTATAGTTAATAATAAGTGGACAAAAATTATTTTTGCTAATAAAATTTTCTCATTAGTTGAGTGAATTCTATATTGAATATATTATTATATAAATATATTTACGAAAGTATTTTTTTTTTTATATTGTTAAAATAATGTTGTTATATTTAATATTGTGCAATATTACTTAAAGTTTATACTACTTGGTAGAATTTTTTTTTTACATATTTAACATAAATTTTAAACCCTTACGTATTTTTTATAAACTTACACATTTTCGGATTTTAATCTAGCTATTTAGTATTTATAAAATCAATTTTCATCATAAATTAGTTACTTTATACTAAAAGTAAACTTTTTTTTTTCTTCAAAAAATTGTTTTAAATATTAAAATGGCATACTTTCCTCATTCCGCAATTTTACGTTGTTTTTTTTTTGTTTTCGTTTGTTTCAAATGATTTTCTTTGTAACTGTAATTTAAAATTGATTTTAAAGTCGCCGTTTAACATAAAATAAAATAAATTTACAACTCAGTATTTCAAACGGATATAATTTTATTATACCTTAGGGCATCGACCCAATCTAAATACATTTGTAGCTTTTTAAAAGCAAAAAGAAAGCAAATACAGTTAACTAGTTTATTAAATAAAAAATCTTCAGCTTTTATTTACATCTTGGTATCAACAGATATATGTTAACCCAACAGACACATCAAGTTTCTTTTTCGGAATTAAAACCTGTATAGACACGTGTTTGTCATGATCCAGGCGTAAACCAAAAACACATGTATATTACGGCCAGTTTAACTTTAGTTTAACAAGTGTTTTTTGAGTCAAAACTAGCTTCACATTCCTTACAAAAATTTATTACAATATAATATGAGGTTTCCGTAATGGTGAAAACAATAATATTTTAACAGGTATTTTTGGTAAATAGTAATTGTTATTTTTACGGAATGAAAACCATTTTTGGCACGATTTTTTCAATTTGTTTTAGAAGGTTTTAAACACAAAACAGAAACCAAACTTAATTTTTTTCTGAGTTGGGCCGGCTGGGTTGTAGAGGTGCTTAATAAATGTTTGAAAAGATTTAACTGCTTTCTTTATTAACATTTCTTAGATGCATGTAGAATTAGCCAGTAGAATGGGTAAGTATTTTTAGGCTGTAGAATGGGTAAGTATTCATTTTTTAATCTTCATTATTGTTTCGCTTTTCCAAACATAATATTAATAACTTTGCACAAAAATCAGTAATATATCGTATTAGTGTATATCAAAAGCAAGTTTTTATTACTTGTTTTCTGTTATGTTCATTAAAAGTTATTTATCTTTCTCTTTATCCCTGTCAGTTATTTGCTCCTTACATTAATAAAAGCAAATAACTGACGGGGATAAGTGAGAGTAAGTACGACGGGGATAAGTGAGAGTAAGTAACTGAGATGAGAACTAAGAGGGACAAAGCGGATCAACAAAATAGTTTAGAGTTTTAATCAATACTTTTTATCGGAAAAAAATTAACTTTTTTTTTCTTTAATTTAAAGACAATTTGAAATGTATTTAAAAATGTAAAAAACTCAAATAAAACTTTTTTGTTTAGTTTTTAACACAGGTAAATATACATAACACAGGTAAACATAACACAGGTAGGGTAAAAAAGCTTTTTTTACCCTTACGTTTTGAGAGAATGATATATACTTGTACTTAAAATCGATCTTAATTGAACAAAAAAATAATAATAATAAAAAACAATAATAGTTAAAAGAACAATGAATTAAAACAACTAAAAAAGATCAGATTTTTATTTTAAAAAAAATTTGTGATGATTTTGAGTTGTTGCGAGGTTTTGTAGGTTGATTTGAAATATCACTTGTGCGTCCACTTTTTGGTTTAATAAAACTGAATGAAAAGATGTTTTTTACATATTGCTTTATGTATGTATGTATGCTTTAGTATCAAGTTTTGTGACTTGAAACTTTATTCTAATACCATTCACGAGTTTGGCTTAAAACTTTGAGTAAATGATACTTTTTACCATTGACTTGGTTTGCTCCGGCTATTGTTGTTACTTCATTTATTTGATGTTCAAAAATAATTTTTTTTTTGAATTTATTTTAGGTGCTCTAAAATGTCCTTACGGTCTTATCACAGAGCACCGCGGAAGAGCATTTGAAAGGAAATTAACGCCTCCTTCCTTACCGTTGTTATAAATCTTAACCAGAGGTGGTGTTGAACCACGAATCTCTAGCTTCTGAGGTAAGCGCGTTAGTCTCTGCGCTACGGCTGCTTAAATTTGTGCTCATTTTGTTTTTTAACTTGTAGTGGTGCTTCTGTGTTGTCAACAACTTATAATCTGCCAAGTATTTGAAGTTTAATCTAGCATTTCCCTTTGAATTTGGCAAGTCTAGGTATTTTACTTTTTTTTTTTTTTTTTGAGTTACTGTTTTTTTTGAGTTACGTATCAGTGGCAAAAAGTTTGTTGGATCAAAGCTGAAAGTTTTAAAATTTGATATATATACTTTTTTATTAAATTTAATTTTTTTATTTATTTAAAGAAATTTATTCTATTTACTGTCTTTCACTCTACATATATAAAGGAGGTTGTTGTTTTAACGGAGTTTTGTACAACTTTTAAAAAAATTGTACTTTACTTACACCTGTTAAAGCCCACATAGGTGTTCTATAAAAAGATTGTTGTATCTCTGGTCATCGCATCTTTTTTAGCCCCTGTCAGTTATATAAATCGTTTTTTTTTTTATTAATTGGATAAACAGCGAAATAATATACAAAAGTTGCTACTGTGCAAGATTTTATCGTGATATTTTTTTAGAGAAATGTTTGCTCGGTAAAACACAGAAAACTTATAAGTTCTTGAATCAATTGATTTGGAAGCAGGGTCTCAAAGATATATTAGTTGCAAGAACTGCTCTATGTATCGAAGTACTAAACTTTAATAGAATTTTTTTTTTTACAGAGGTCATTTTAATGTGCTTCTAGTACTAGGCTTCAATCTACATGACCTTTTTCTTAGAAGTAACAAGTGTATTTCTAATGTGGAAAAACAATATTCAAGTAAAGCAAAATTTAGACGCAAGAAGTTAGGAGCAAAAAAGGTTTTTGCAATCCGTACAAAACATTGAAAAGAGCAGTTTATGGAAGCGAACAATTTTTTCTTATTCTAATTTTTAAATTGAGTTTTTTTGCAAAATCATATGTTGTGGGGATATTTTTCAAACCGATAGTTGATTTGATCTGAAATTTGGCACTAATTTGTTTATAGAAAATTTATTAGAAATACCTACTAGAATTTCCTAAAAATAAAAAGAACTTTATAGCTAATTGCTTTCTATTCTAGAAATTGGTTTTGTGTGCTCAAATAACATCAAAACTTCTAAAAATGCATATATTTTGATTTTTTCTTTTTTTTACTTCTTATTAGTGTTTATGTTAATATATTAAAGTCTAAACTGACACAAGAATCTAATTATAGTTATCCAACTATAAGTATTATAATTCAGTCGTAAGTTGTTACGTTACAGATGTAACCAATGTTATGCATATCTGCTTGCATCTGTGACGTAATAACTTACGACTGAACTATATTATTTTTTTTGATGAACTATACTACATTTGAACTAGAATACATTTATAATTCTATAATACATTTGAACTATAATTCAACTGAACTATAATAGATTTTTTTTTTAACAATATTTTTCAAAAAAATGTTTTAGTCAAATGCAAGAAATATATTTCATTTGATTTCAAAGTTTCTTTTTCTATATGAAACTAAAATGAATTTATTGATTTCATCATATTGAAATAATTTTTAATTGAAATTTTTAGCTGTGTTCTTTCTATATTCTATTTAACTAACTTAAGACACGTGGTGTAAGTCTCCCATCGGAATGTGGTGTAGGCCTCCCATTAGCTCTTAGAAAATAGTTATTGTTTTAATTTATTTTTAAGTTTTATTTCAAAAATGTTTTGGTGTGAAATTTTTAAAATTATTATACATGTAGATGATGTGGTGTAATACTCCCATTAGATCTAAGAAAATAGTTATTGTTTTAATTTATTTTTAAGTTTTGTTTCAAAAATTTTTTGGTGTGAAATTTTTAAAATTATTATACATGTAGATGGTGTGGTGTAATACTCCCATTAGATCTTAGAAAATAGTTATTGTTTTAATTTATTTTTAAGTTTTGTTTCAAAAATATTTTGGTGTGAAATTTTTAAAATTATTATTAATGTAGATTATGTGGTGTAACCCTTCCATGAGATTTTAGAATATAGTTATTGTTTTAATTTATTTTTAAGTTTTGTTTCAAAAATTTTCGATGTGAAATTTTTAAAATTACTATACATGAAGACGATGTGATGGAATCTGTTTATCTCATGACTCATGACTTACATTTTACCCATTAATAACTTTGCATGTTTAAATCAATTACGTTAGAAGGTTGAGTCCACGCAATGTTAACATAATTAATGTACCTATAGATTAGACTAAAATGTATTAATTTAAGACTTTGGAAATTTATAATTAAAAATTTATAAGTAGACTATTGTCTCAATTGTTTTGTTTATTTTTGTTTTGATGTGTTTTACATTGGGAAAAAAAGGTAAGCTTTTATCTTCAAAAATTTTTAGATACTTGTAAAGTTTCTGTTTTTAATTTGTTTATCATATATAAAATAAGCTGGTAATTTAAACAGCAGGTAATCGTCTTGTGTTTATTGTGTTATTCGTCTTGTGTTTATTGAACATACACAAATTAGTATGATCAGCATTCATAATTTAGTTTAATTTTGCAGATATATTACAGTAGTCATTTATATAAATTAGAAATAGTAGAAGGCTGATGATTGAAAATTTGTACCAGATACCGTATTGACTGCATACCTTTTTGGTCATTAAGGAAGCTTTTAGCCCGAAAAAATGAATTGTTTATTAAAGCATAACAATTTATCTTTTCTTAAAGTAAAGAGTGATCTACTGTGTCAAATGCTTTTAAAATATTTATAAATATTCCGTGTGTAAACTGATTTTATTCAAACCCATTTGTTATTTGGCCAACTTTATTTTATTTTTCAGAATATAAAAGAAAGTTTTGCTGATATTTTTTTGTTTGAAACCACTGTTGGTTGATGTTCCATCAAAACCCAGAAATTTTTTTCATTTATAAACATGAGAAAGCATCCTAAATTTCTTTTACTGTTAATTCACTGTCTCATAATAAATTATAACTAGAAGAACTTAAATAGGTTATAGATGAATCAAGTGGAAGTAAGATTTTATTAGCTAAATTTAAAGCAATTTTAGTTGAGTAATTGTGAAACTCTTTTGAGATGTTGGGTAATAAATAGTTGTATTATTAATAGCAATATTGAGGATAAGTGACGAACTACATTTATTACGACCCATTACGTTATTAAATACACTACATATTTTTTTATTTCAAATTTACATTCAGTAATATTTTTACTATAAAATTGTTTTTTGTTTTTTTTTTTCATTTTTGAGTAAGTCTTAAAAGTATTTATAGCTTTTATATATGTTTTTTTTTTCAATATTTATTTATAAATTTTATATTTGTTTTTTTTTTTAATATTCTTACTTTTAAGAAATTTGTTATAAAGTTTTCATTTCTTTCTCGAACATTTAACTAGATTTTTTTCATTCAAGGGTTAGCAGTTAATTTCATTTTCCTTTTTATTATTTTAAATGTAAACGTTTTATTTTTTATTTTTAAAAACTAAGAAAAAACGAGTGATGAAATTATCATAGGAAATGTGTGCCATTTTATCATAGGAACAATGCAAATTTACCACATTTCTGGGTTACTTTCATTTTTTCACTTAAACTTTTTTTTACTTGATCGGTTTCAGCAAACAAGTCTTCATAACAAAATATAATTTTACCTTTTAACGTTACAGATTTTTTTAAAGATTTCAACAAAATGTTTTATAATCCAAAAGCTTTAAAACTATTGTTCATGATTTATTTTTATCTTTAACTTCAGTAAGATTGTTCAACTTTTTTCTTTTTTATATCAAATTACTCTCCTAAGAATTTTTTGCTGCATGTTGTTTTATGTATACCTTTAAACTTTTTTCTTCAGGGTAAAATGATTTATTATGTGCTATTGACATTACTTATCACTGGATGTAGATGCAACCTTATAGTTGAGATTGATAGCATCAATGGGAATGATAGCATTGCTTGCACTAATGGTGCGTTAAAAATACCTTGTAAAAGCTTAAACTACGTTTTTGCAAATATTAAAAATATGAGCTATTCAACTTTAAAGATTTTAAAAGGAGAACATATACTTTTAACGGAGATTCGGGTAAATGGTATTGTTTCCATGGAAATTGTATCTTTTGACAATGCTTTGCTCAAATGCGTTAATTCATCTGGACTAACATTTATTTCTTCAAGTAATGTTACTGTACGAGGAGTTACACTTAAACATTGTGGTGCAAAACATAATAAGATTGAATACAAAAACAAAGGAAACTTTTATCATTCTTTCATGAGCACGGCAATTTGTTTTATTAATTGCAAAGATATTGTTATAGATAATGTTATGTTCCAAGAAAATGAAGGTGTTGCTCTTGCTTTCTTTGATGTTGGCAATTCAGTGCAAATTTACCAATCATTTTTTGATTCTAATGTGAATTATTTAACAAAAGAAAATATTTCAGTGGGTGGTGGGGTCTATGTTGAGTTATCAAATTACACAAGTTTAAATTCTTTTATTAATGCAGATACTAAATACCTTATTAAAAAATGTAATTTTTCAAACAATTATTTGGTCAGTGGATTAAAACAAACAGATATGTCCACTAAAGTCCAACAAAATATATATGCTAGAGGCGCTGGTCTCTCAATTGTGTTAAAAGGAGATGCAAGTAGAAACTTTTTAAACATCGTTGATTGTGTATTTATTAACAACACTGCTCTTTGGGGAGGAGGTATGTTTGTATATTTAGCAGAGAAATCCGAAAACAACTCACTATTATTCAATGGCTGCATATTTGAAGAAAATAAAGCCGTTTTAGCCGGTGGCGGTATTCGTATTTATGAGGAATCCAAGCAAATAACATCGTTGAAAGAAAATAATATTAAACTAGAAAACATATTATTCAAAAAAAACTTAGCCATATGGGGAGGAGGAGTATCCATTAAAGGTGCAACACACAACAAGTATGAGGATTGGACAACTAATACCGTATTTGAAAAATGCATTTTTGATGAAAACCTTGGCACTGTAGGTTTTGCAATTGGCCTTCACACACGAAATTTCAAAAGAAAGATATTCGATAGAGGAGTATCATATCGGGTTGTTATGAATAATTGCTCATTTAATAAGAATCAAATGATTTTATCTGAAGATAAAAAAGTCAGAGGTCAAGGTTGTATATACTTCAAAGAAGCATTTCTAGTGCTTACTGGAAGTAATAGTTTTACATGTAATCAAGGAACAGCTATTGTGTTGGAATCCGCATCTTTAACATTTGGGAGCTCTAGTTATTCTGCATTTCAAAATAATACGGGAACAGAAGGAGGTGCAATTGCTTTGTATGGAACGTCATGGTTAGAACTAGAAAAAGATTGTAGCGTTTTGTTTGATCGAAATTCCGCATTGCGAAGAGGAGGTGCATTATTTGTTAAACATGCTGGTCCTCCTCGAGTTGGGTTTCAAAATACAGAATTACAATCTTCTCCATGTTTTATACGCTATAATGATATGGATACTTTTGAATGGCCTGTTAATATAACTTTTCGTGAAAACTATGCTCCACCAAGTTCAGGGAACTCTATATACGCTTCAACACTACAATATTGCCGCTCCGATGGCGAGAGCCGTGTGAACTCAACAGCTCTAGTTTGGCCTTTTATAAAATACGAGAGTTCAAGCACAGATCCAGAAATTGTAACAAGTGCCATAGAACTAAACTTTAATAAAGAACAATGGAACGTTTCACCATTTTTCTCTTTTTCGACAGATGTCCACCAAATAGATGAACGTGGTCAAAGTGTTTATGGTTCCGTAAAAATAGATATAAATAGCGAAAACAAATCTGTAACTTTAGATCCTCCGAACTACGATTTTATTGTGAGAGATAAAATATCCAAACTAAAGTTATTGGGGAAAACGCTATCAAAATTTTCTGTGACATTGATTACTAATAATGATCAACTAGTTGTTTCGCCAACATATAATGTTTCTTTAAGTTTATGCTTACCAGGCTTTCGCCTTAGAAAAAATAAATGTGTTTGCATGGATGCCGAGGTTGGAGATGTAGTTCACTGTTTAGAAAATGGAACAGTATATGTTTTACGAGGCAGGTGGGGTTATGTAAATAGTAAAACCAATTTGCTTGAAACTGCAGTGTGTCCACAATCATATTGCAAATGCCATATTGCTATTGAAGAATATTTATGCCAATTTGATGTCAAAGAACAATGTTCTGAAAATCGTCGAGGAAGACTTTGTAGTCAATGTTCTGAAGGGTACAGCGTGGCTTTTTTTAACGAAGATTGTAAAATCTGTACTACAAAATGGTGGCTGATCATTTTACTAATTTTAGCTGCTATATTAGTATTTTATATTGTATTGGTTGTTGCTCTCAGTTTTATTGACGTAGATGAGTTTTTTGGATATTTTAATGTTTTCTTTTATTGGTACCAAATGATTGATTTGGTTATTCCCGTAAACGTACAGCTTACCCGAGGTACACTGTTTTTAATTGGTTTTATCTCATTAACTGGAACTGGTGGTAACACAGGGTTTTGTTTATATAACGGACTTGATAATTTAGTTAAACTTGCAATAAATTACGTACCAACAATTTTATTCATTATTACTGCATTTACGTTGCATTTTGACTCTGTATGGAAAGTACTTTGTTGTAATAACTATAAAAGGTTATCAACAGTGGAAGCTGATAATAGGCGGATAACATCCCGAGGGAGAGCAATAAGCTTCGTAATTGTGGTAACGTTTTCTCAGATTATTATAGTTTCTTTTAGACTTCTTCAGTATGTTGAAATTGATGGTCAGCGTTATTTACACAAAGCAGCGTTTGCTAGATACTTTCGACCCCCTCATATATATTGCGGATTACTTGCTTTGTGTTTTTTATTTGTTATGTTTGTATTTATATTACTTTTACTTTTAAATCCTAAAAAGTTAAGAAATCTTAAACATATTGATACAAAATATATTAAATATGTTGTTCCTGTTTTTGATGCGCTGAAGAGCTGCTTTGATAAATCAAAGTTAATTGGGAATGATAATAGCCGACAAGAAAAAGAAATAAAAAAGAACTCAAAGCACCAGCGAAGGTTTGCAACATTTTATTTCATCTTCAGAGTTATAATGATTATTATTTCTGTTTTTGCTCAAAACGAAATTATGAAGCTTGTTCTTTTTTCGTCGGTATCTGTTATATCTCTAGGAATTTTTGCCTCATTTCAGCCTTACAGAGAACGTAGTTTTAACAGTTGGGATACGCTCGCCTTAATTTTAATGTGTATTGCTACCTTATTTAGTTTAGTTCTAAACGTTCCATTTTCTGCAAGTCGCACTCAATTGAATACTATTAGAGTATTGTTGGAAATCATTATTTGGTTGCCATTTGTAACCTTAATTTTAAGGCTTGGTTGGAAGTGGCGAATACTTCTGTATAAATTATCAAAAAGATCCAGTTTGATAGAGAAAAACGGTATGTTTTGTTTTAACTATATGGTTAATATTATGAACTATTTCGTGTTAACTGCTTTAATATTTTTTTTCATTTATCAATTTTGAATTGACTGCTTTTATATTTTTTGCATATATAAAAATTTTAATTCAACAGTTTAATTTTGAACTTTCTTGTTTCATGTTTCTTGTTTTTTCTAAAACAGTTATATAAAATTGAAATTCGTAAATTACTGTTAACAGTTTAATAATTATTAATATGACGTTGGGGTAATATTTATAAGATATTTATAAGGTTAGCAGTGGGTTATAGTATTTAAGAAAAAAAAATCAAATTAAAAAATTATAATACGTATATTAAAATAAATCAACTTCATAAAGTTAACTTATTTTATCAATTTATAATTATGATGATAAATACAGTATAGTTAATGTTGGTTGTCGTTGTAGTTATGATATATGTACAACACAACGTTAATGTAAAGTCGCAGCTGGCATCGTAAAATTGCATATTTTGAATGTTGCACGACATAAAAATATACTGAACAATTTGTTGCTTTATTTTTATATGTGCAACTCATTTCAGTACAGTAAATTGTATTTTGGTCCACCAACCGACTTGGATTAATTATAGAAATGAAATTTATTAACTTTGTTACTTGATTTATCATAATTCTTTTTTAATGTTTGACTTACTCTGTCAGTTTTGTTAATTATTTAAAGCAGGGGCGCCCAACCCAAATGGGTTGGCGGGTAAAAATACAATTTACTGAAGTGGAAGCACATATAAGAATAAAGCAACAAATTATTCAAAATATTGTATTACAGTGCAATATTCAAAATATGCAATTTTACAGCCAGTTGCTACTGTAAAAAAAAGTTGTGTTACACATGTATCTCAACTACAACGTCAATAAACATTAACTATACTGTATTTATAATCGCCCTCAACACCTTACCTTCCTCCCTAATTACAAGGGTTAAAAAATTATTATATAAAATATATTATATAAAATAAATTAGGGTTAAAATATTATATTATATAAAATATTATATGTATATCCTAGCTTTTCGGACTCATAAATTACGGGTCTTTACGAAACCTACTATTTCTATATTTATCTAATCCACACCGAACATTTCTATACTTTTTATTTGTTTACTTTATTTTACACCGAACATTTCTATACTTTTTATTTGTTTGCAATATTTTTACGTAAATTAATTTACGTAAAAATATTGAAGTAAACAAATAAAAATATATTTTTACGTAAATTTTGAACAATTGCTTTAAGAGCAAAAAATTAATATGCATACCTTTTCACATACCTAGAGCTTATAAGAGATTTACAATAAGGTTTGTTTTTCTCCTAAACGCATATTATTGATAGTTCAGTGGTTTAGTGCGGTGTCATCAGTGCTGCTTTGGGGGATTAAAGACCTCCTCTAATAAATATTGAATATTTTTTAATCTTGCTGTATTTATAGCTATATTTAGAGCAAAACTTGTATTATAGTATATATCTATAATAATTATAGCAATACTTAAAGCAAAAAAATAAAAGTATAGCAAAAAATTTTTCTAATTGTTAAAATAAAAATTAAAGGTTTTGTCATTTTTATAGATTTATTATTCACGATTCTTCCATATATCGCCTGCAAACTCAACATATGCTAGAGACGTTTACGCTTACAGACGTTGGTACCCAACGCTATACAAATGGCAGAACTAAGTTGATCTTAGTCTATTAAAACTGTCGACTATAAAACCCATAGGAAACGTCTATAAATTACGCGAAGCTAAACTTATTTTTAAAAAAGAAGGAGATCTTAAGTTTTTTTAGGTGGCGATTTTCATTAAACTTAATGAACTATTTTGATTTTTTATTTGACTTATGACTCTGCTAGGGAAAATTCTGATCTTTTTTGTGGTGTTCATTAGTGAAATTTAGCGTTGGGTAATTTATGGACAATCCTTAATCTAAAAGTTAAGCCAAAAAATAATAGAGTATACTATTTGATGGTTATCTAAATTCTGTCGCTGTTGCGCACTCAGCTTAGAATGTTTAACGGGGGCGTGGTAAAATAGCTGTAAAACTCTAAATTTCCTTATTATATTAATATTAAATAATTTTAACTTTTAATTATTTTAAATTTGATAAAAAGGTTTATTTTAAATATAAAATAAAAATTTTAATTATGTTCTTATGAAAAACATACTTTTTAAACCCCCTTTTTTTTTTTTAAAAAGTTGAAGTTGCCGAGTGGCAAGTTTAAATTATCAGCTTGTTTTTTTTGTTTTTTTTTGTAATTTAAAATGTTATAACAAAACAACTTTATAGACCTACAGATTTTATATATAAACATGTTGTTTATACTCATTTTCCTTATACAAGCTCAACCTAGTGGTAAAAATTGAAATGTAAAACTAAACTAACATAAGTATCTCAATTTTTCCCCCGATTTATAATGTTTTTAAATTTTTTAGCTTTTTTTAAAAATCTTTCCATTTGTTAAAGTGTATAATATCGTTACATATGTTTGCATAAAAAATCTCTATAAAATTCAAGTATATTGTATTTTAAAAGATCTTGATAATTTAGAAATATAATGTTGCCGGTGGTAGGACTCGAACCGTGGCTTACTTGTACAGAAGCTCTGCGCGCTAACCACTTGGCCACGCTGGTCCACCCCAATGAGCACAAGACGTTTTTAAGACGTTTATAAAACGTATTAAAACAAATTAATACGTATTTTAAACGTATAAAACACGTCATATGCCCACTGGGTGACTTACGAAAATTTAAAACTAAATAATAGCTTTTTTTTAACGGAAATAAATGCTATAGATCAAAATTAAGAAGAAGTTGACAAAATACAGTTTTCAAGTGAACATAAAACTGTAAAACTTGATATATGCTTATGTATGGATGTATGGATTAACATTACATAATTTGAATTTCACGTATGTTAGATATTTGCTTACACTTTCGCTCACGTTTTCTTATAAAACAAAGCTGCTACAACTTTTTCTCGCCATTACCTCGGTTCCAATGGCTGCCAAGAGTTCTATGTCAAAAAAGGCTCAAAAGAGCACTTCTACTATTAAGTTCAATATTATTATATAGATTATTTTATTTTTTGAAAGAAAAATAAATGAGATAGTTTAACAAGATATATATTCAATTAAACAATATAAATATAATAAAAAAACTTTAAATGTCTAATTTACACAATCCAATTGTCATTCAGGGCCGTCCCGAGGAGGGGGCGTAGGTGGGTGTCTAGATCCCCTACGAATTTTATTCGTCGGCAAATCGGACACTAGAGTCGGCAAAATTGGATTTATAGTTGGCAGTCGGCAATTGTCGGAAAACAAGAACCTTTTTTTTTTATGTAAGGTAAGTTAGTGGGAAAAAAATTTTTTTTGGCTTTTGTCGGCAAAAAACAAACACGGCACCACCACCCCTTTAAAATCTCTTCGGGACGGCCCTGTTGTCACTACTGCAATTTTATGAGTGTAAAACTAAATAATTTACAGTTATTACATAAAAAATGAATGGAGTTGTTATATAAAGGAAATCTGAAAATAGTTCCGCATAAAACTCATTTTTAAAGTATGGAACCATCTATTTTTTATAAACTGATTTCAAATAAATGTTTTTATAATAAATAATTCACTTCAATTATAAATCGAAATCCCTTTCTTCAAAAACCTTTAAAACAAACCTAAAAATTGATGCTCTTTAGGGGCTGTCCATTTTTTAGTCAACAAAATAGGGGGAGGGGGTCTGAAATTTTTTGACAATTACTAACAAGGAGGAGGGGGGAGAAGCCAAAAAAATTTAACCCCAACACAACTAGTTGTTCACAATTAGTTACTTTTTTAAATAAACTCAATTACTTAAAAAAAGGAAAATTAGGCGTTTGCAGTCTTGTAGTTCCCAGTCCATACTCGCTCAACCTTCAGTATTTTAAAAAAGTTACTTATATTCTTACTTATTAAAAACCGTGTTGTGCTTTAAAAAGATCCTACACATACAGAACTAAATAAGCACACACAAGATGTTTCCACGTAATACTAATATTTTTTCAAAGTTGTTGTTGGTTAGTCTGCTGTGCAAAAAAAAAAGCTGAATGCAGGCACATAGTCTACATTATACTATTTAAATATTTATGCCAGGGGTTGACAACCTGCGGTCAAGATTATTTTGGCTCTCCCGTTTGAAAAGGTTGCCGACCCCCAATTTATCAATTTGGCAAATGCATTTTTTGTTATACTAGACTATATAAATAAATAACTGGCTTTCACTGTAAAATCAGATTAGGTCTAAAGTTAAAGTGAGGAGGATTGCCATATTCACGGATTGTGACCCTGCACTGTACATAATTTATCATAAATATTTAAAACTATCATCGAAGTTAATTAATTCAGAGAGTGGGAGGGGTCATCGAATGTTGACGTAATTTTATTGGAGAGGGAGGGATCTCTGAAAGTTTGACAAGTTGTTGATAAGGGGGAGGGAGGAGTTAGAATTGCCAAAAATATGTTGACGTAATTAATAGACAGCTCCTTAGCTGTAAATAACTTATAGCAATTTGTAAAAGCAAATAAATAAATAATGGCAATCTAACCACTTCACAAGTAAAGCTTAATCAGACTTATAGAAATTATTTTTGCGCAACAGCTATAATATTATGGAATATAGGCAATTTTTATAGGAAACTTACATATTTTTTTTTTATGTATTGCATTCTTTGAGATATTTCATTTTAAAAATGGTTTTAACCGCCTCTGTAAATTATTTAATTCTAAAGGTATTTGTGTTTTACAATAAAAAAAAAAATTAATTATTTAATTCTAAAGGTATTTATGTTTTACAATGATAAAATAAAATTGAAACAGCTTTAAAACAATAAACTACAAAAAAATGAAGTAAATACAAAATATAACAATAACATTTTATTTAACAACAGTATAAACATTTATAATCTAACCCCTTTGCATCTTTTTCTACACAACTCACATGGGCCCAACACTGACAGCTTAAACACTGTACAGCACCTGGAAGACTGTTTGAGGACGATTTGAAACAACTAAAGCACAAGACATCTTCCTCATTATCATCTTGTTTTTCTTTTCCAGGTTGACTGGAAAAACATTGCTTGTTTTAGTGTTACTTGGACCGGCTTCTTTGATAGAAAATAGTCTTTTTTTATAACCCCTCTGTTTTTTTTCTTTTGCTGCTTTTTGTTCCTGTTGCAAGGCTTTTTTAACAGGTGCATCAGTTAATATAGCAAAAGTTCGTTTCCGATTTATGAGCTTATTTACATTATTTTTTCAAGGCTGAGCTTTTTCAAAATTCCTTACTTCTTCATGTGATGGTATAAGTGAAGAGTTTGGAGTAGCACCTGATGTGTTGTCTAAATCTGGAAAACTTCCTTTCTTAGATCTTGATTCATTTAAATTAAATTTTTTGAAGTTTTTTTATTTACAATCCACAGATGAAACTTCGTTGCTTGGTGTTTGTTTACAATCCACAGCTGAAACTTTGTTTCTAAGTGTTTTTTTAGTGATGCTAAAATCCACAGATGAGGGTTAGGTCTATCTGTTAAATATGATGGCAAAAAATCACTTTCTGAAAAAATATGAATAAAAAATAAAAAAATATGAATAAAAAATATGAATAAAAAATATTGAGTTCCTTGGAGTTATAGCATTAGGAAGTAGTGTTTTTTACTTTACCAGGTATGTCATAGATAGTCATTGCCGGACCCTGCGAATTGGCAGTTTTTGTTCCGAATCGAATCTCGAATCATATTTTTATTTCAATTCAATTCGAAACTTCGAAGCTTCGCAGAGCCCTAAGTCATTGGTCGTTTGTTTACAGTAACTTATGCATCACATGCTGAGCTCACAAACTTTTTAAAAGGACCATAAACACTTCTATCTAATGGTTGTAATTTATGACTACAGTGTGCTTGACAAGATAAAAGTGTGATACCATTTACTTTACAAAAATAAAGTACTGCTGCATCAAGATGAGAGCTGTAGTTGTCAATCAATACCAGACAAGGGCGATCATTGGAACAATGTGCATGGATAGAAAAAATGTTTGATATATTTAAGAAAATATGTCTCTGTCATCCATCCTGAAGAATGTGCTGATTCATCACATCTTATTGGTTCATCACAAATAAAGTGAGATTTAAAGTTAACTCTGGGAAAGATAAAATATGGAGGTGTGCTATTACCAATCGCACTAACCGCCAAAGCCATTGTCACTAATGCTCCTCTTTCTGCTCAACCTATTTGGCAAACGCCTCTACGTGCAACAACACAATCAGGCCGCTGCACTGTTGAGATTCCAAATGTCTGAAGCACTTAATTTTAACCTAGTCAAAACATTACTTAAGTTGTAAAAAAATAAATTTACATTATGTTTATTGAAACTTGTGCACCGAGCTAAACTTGTTGCTTGAGGAGAGCGAATAGAAAACTTTGGATGCCTTTTCAAGAATCCGGAGAACCAATCACTACCAGCAGATTGAAGTTCTATTCATGAATGGGGAATTTTTCTGCTGCAAGCAACAGTATATGTATAAGCAAACCGTCGAACTTCTTTAGGAGAAAGATAAAAGTAAATATCACTTGCTTTCATTAGGTATTCTTCAAGCAAAACATCCTGCTCAGGTTCACCTAAAGAAATATAAAATATATGTTACCATTAGACATAAAAATTAAAATCATATTAGGTATTTGTCCCAGTCTCTAAAAAAATTCAAAATTGTAAATATATTAAAGCAGTGTTTTATATTGAAGTATCATATTAAATGTTTAAATAAGTTACGGAACTAAATTATATTCAAATTA